GTAAGTCGCGGCACCCCTCTTTTCCTGTGCCTCGTCTCCCCGTGTCCTCAGAGCTCGCCTCCTCAGCCTCCTCGCGTTCCCCATCACCCCTGCAGTGGCGCTTGCCGAAGGCCAGGAGGCCCCAGCGAGGGTGGTACACAGTGGGCCACACGCCCCAAAGTGCCCTTGGTGGCTGCTGGGCTCGCCACTGCCTCAGTGGAAGGACACGGCACCTTGGGCTGGGACAGGCCAGGGCTGCCCCCCAGGGCGGGCAGGTACCCAGTCAGAGGCAGGCCATCAGCTCCTTCCCGACCTCGAGCTTAGAGTGGAGGCAGGAGGAAGGGCAGGAGGTGGGTGAGACGCTGACGCCAAGGGGTGGTCTGGAGAGGGGTTGTGCCTCGCTCCGACGCCTACGGGAACCCCGGGGCCCAGAGGCCTTGTCCCCTGTGGGGTGTGTGGGCCACAGGTAGAGGCTCCAGCTGGTCGAGGGATGGGCGACAAGAACCCTGGGGTGACCCTGGCTCTAATGGCAGCCGGGTAAGCTGTCAAAAAACAAGAGGAAGAAGATGAGGCGCAAACGGAAACAGCAGAAGCGGCTGCTGGAGGAGCGGCTGCGGGACCTGCAGAGGCTGGAGGCCTTGGAGGCAGCCGCCCAGGCCGAGGGTGAGGGGCCGGAGGGGCGCCCCCAGACTGCTGAACGCGGGCCACTGGGGCAGCGGCTCACACACCACCTCTGCCCCTTTCCCCAGACTCTAGCTCAAGACTAGAGGGGGGCAGCGGCTCTACCTCTTCTTCTGGCTGCCACCCTGGGGGGGCCAGGGCTGGCCCCTCCCCAGCCTCCTCGTCCCCAGCCCCTGGGGGCGACCGCAGCCTCAGCCCCGGCTCCCAGACCTCAGGCTTCTCCGGCTCCCTTTTCTCTCCCACCTCGTGCTCCATCCTCTCAGGCTCTTCCAACCAGCGGGAGACTGGGGGCCTCCTGTCGCCCAGCAGTAAGCCGGACAGGGCCAGCGGGCGGCGGGCGGGCGGGGAGGCAGAGGCCCGGCTGGCTCAGTCTCTCCCTTCTCTTCCTTTCCCAGCACCCTTTGGTGCCTCGAATCTCCTGGTGAACCCCCTAGAGCCCCAAAATGCAGACAAGATCAAGATCAAGATTGCAGACCTGGGCAATGCCTGCTGGGTGGTATGAGTGCACCTTGGAGAACTGGGTGCCCTGCCCAGGGTGGGGGCACAGACGCACCCAGGAAGCCCCACCCGGGGCCGCATGGGCACTCAATCATTCGTGCAGCGAGGGTTCGCCCTGCAGTCCTCTTGACCAGACCCCGAGGTCTGCCTCGTGCCGCAGACCCAGGGCCGAACCCGAAGCAGCACCA